CGGCCAAGCAGTGAAGGTATTCGGGCCTCGTGCAATTGTCCCGGACTACCCTTCGAGGAGCAGGTTGGCGATTGAAGCCCGTGGCCGTGTGCCTGCCGGTTTGTTTTCATATTCTGATGGAGTTTCTTGGCATTATTCAAATAGTTATTTAATAGGTATAATAATAATTTTGACTAACTTTTCGTATGCCAGCCTAAGGTGCCCGAGAGGAAGCAGAACGCTGTGCCCAAGACCAAGCAGAAGCCGGAGGTGGTAAGGGCAGCCGGCAGTGAGGTCTCAGGCGATCGTGGCACTTCTCGCCCGGAGTCAAAGGCTCCCAGGCTCCCAGGCTTGGAGCTGTGAGCTGGTGATTTTTTGGTTTACTTTGTCCGCTCCCTGGCACGACTGTCGCTGTGCGGGCCATTAAGGCCTTAGCTTGTACAGTAGCCGACGATGACAATACCGACTGGCTGCACGGGAATCAAATTTCGGGAGGTAGCCGATGCAGTTCGATTTGCTGGCGCGTTTTTGTCAAGACTTGTTGATGCTGTCTCTGACCAGGACAGCGGACGATTCTCGGCTAGCAGGCTCCTCCAAACCCGCGCCGAGGCGAGCTGGTGAGTCTCATGCAGTTGAGTCATACTTAGACCATAATAAGTCTTGTATTCTCGCCAGGTCCTCCTGCAGTGGGACGGGCGCCTGCGTACAGGCTGGCCAACTGCGGTCATAATGGCTTGACAGTGTGATGCATCGACCCTTGAATGCAACCTGATGACCCTTGAATGCGCTGATTCTCCGAGGTGCATAAAAGGGTCTGTTCGATGCATTGAAGGGTTGTATCGTGGGTGCCCAACATCCAGCATCTTTGAGGTACCCTTGGATGCAACCTTGTGACCCTTGAACGCGCTGATTCTCAAAAAAGTTGCATTGAAGGGTATTTTCAATGCATTGAAGGGTTGTATCGTGGGTGCCCAACATCCAGCATCCCTACAAAGACCCTTGGATGCAACCTTGTGACCCTTGAACGCGCTGATTCTCAAAAAAGGTGCATTGAAGGGTCTTGTTGATGCATTGAAGGGTTGCTTCGTGGGTAACCAACATCCCGCTTAAAAAGACCCTTGGATGCAATTGGTCTATTAAATCTTTGTCCTGACAATGGCAAGGAAGTGGTGTTGCTGCAGTTGGCGCCCGAAATCTCTTCATCCGTCTGGCCAGCCTGACTTGATTGATACATGGCGGTCATAATGGCTTGACAGTCAGCGACCCTGGATGCAACCTTGTGACCCTTGACTGCGTTGATTCTTAAAACATGTGCATTGAAGGGTCTTTTGGATGCCTTGAAGGGTTGCTTCGTGGATGCCCAACATCCAGCATCTTTGAGGGACCCTTGGATGCAACCTTGTGACCCTTGAATGCGCTGAATCTTCGAAAAGGTGCATTGAAGGGTCTTTTCGATGCATTGAAGGGTTGCTTCGTGGGTGTCCAACATCCAGCATCTTTGAGGCGGGACCCTTGGATGCAACCTTGTGACCCTTGAACGCGCTGATTCTTAAGAGAGGTGCATTGAAGGGTCGTTTCGACGCATTGAAGGGTTGTATCGTGGGTGCCCAACATCCAGCATCTTTGAGGGACCCTTGGATGCAACCTTGTGACCCTTGAACGCGCTGATTCTCAAAAAAGGTGCATTGAAGGGTCGTGTTGATGCATTGAAGGGTTGCTTCGTGGGTGCAAAACATCCCGCTTAAGAAGACCCTTGGATGCAATTGGTCTATTAAATGCTGAAGTTGAACGGTCTTTGTCCTGACAATGGCAAGGAAGTGATGTTGCTGCAGTTGGCGCCCGAAATCTCGACATCCGTCTGGCCAGCCTGACTTGATTGATACATGGCGGTCATAATGGCTTGACAGTCAGCGACCCTTGGATGCAACCTTGTGACCCTTGACTGCGTTGATTCCTAAAACATGTGCATTGAAGGGTCTTTTGGATGCCTTGAAGGGTTGCTTCGTGGGTGCCCAACATCCAGCATCTTTGAGGGACCCTTGGATGCAACCTTGTGACCCTTGAATGCGCTGAATCTCCAAAAAGGTGCATTGAAGGGTATTTTCGATGCATTGAAGGGTTGCTTCGTGGGTGTCCAACATCCAGCATCTTTGAGGCGGGACCCTTGGATGCAACCTTGTGACCCTTGAACGCGCTGATTCTTAAGAGAGGTGCATTGAAGGGTCGTTTCGATGCATTGAAGGGTTGTATCGTGGGTGCCCAACATCCAGCATCTTTGAGGGACCCTTGGATGCAACCTTGTGACCCTTGAACGCGCTGATTCTCAAAAAAGGTGCATTGAAGGGTCTTGTTGATGCATTGAAGGGTTGCTTCGTGGGTACCCAACATCCCGCTTAAGAAGACCCTTGGATGCAATTGGTCTATTAAATTTAAACTTCTGCTGAAGTTGAACGGTCTTTGTCCTGACAATGGCAAGGAAGTGGTGTTGCTGCAGTTGGCGCCCGAAATCTCGACATCCGTCTGGCCAGCCTGACTTGATTGATACATGGCGGTCATAATGCCTTGACAGTCAGCGACCCTTGGATGCAACCTTGTGACCCTTGACTGCGTTGATTCCTAAAACATGTGCATTGAAGGGTCTTTTGGATGACTTGAAGGGTTGCTTCGTGGATGCCCAACATCCAGCATCTTTGAGGGACCCTTGGATGCAACCTTGTGACCCTTGAATGCGCTGAATCTCCAAAAAGGTGCATTGAAGGGTATTTTCGATGCATTGAAGGGTTGCTTCGTGGGTGTCCAACATCCAGCATCTTTGAGGCGGGACCCTTGGATGCAACCTTGTGACCCTTGAACGCGCTGATTCTCAAAAAAGGTGCATTGAAGGGTCTTTTGGATGCATTGAAGGGTTGCTTCGTGGGTGCCCAACATCCAGCATCTTTGAGGGACCCTTGGATGCAACTTTGTGACCCTTGAACGCGCTGATTCTCAAAAAAGTTGCATTGAAGGGTCTTTTCTATGCATTGAAGGGTTGCTTCGTGGGTGCCCAACATCCCACCTAAAAGGACCCTGGATGATGCAATTTCACTGCTGATAGGCAACCCAGTCCCGTGTTGCCAGGCTGCTTTGTCCACACCGGCGCCAGCCGACGCTCCGACTTTGTGGCCTGAGTTGCTGAGACTGGTTCCTAGTCGTAGGTTCCCAGGCTCCCAGGCTCCAATTTTAGATTAAGGCTGCTAAGGTTACTGCCAGACCCCATGGTTGTTCGCCTGGGTTCGCCTCTGCCACCGTCATCTGTCCACCCTGTCATGGTGGACAGATGGTTGTGGCAGAGTCGCTGAGGGAGTCTGGGGACATGGAAACCTGGCCGGTGGCCGTTCCGTGGATGTTCACTGCCGGTGCACGCAGCAGAGCAGCAACAGACTTCAGGCCCCAGGCGCCCCCGCAGCATCAACTCCAACCAGGTCCTTCCACGTGGAAACACCTGGTTGGAGTTGATGCTGCGGGGTTTGCACGGCGTGGACCCGGAACGAATCAATTACAGGTCCAGGCTCATCGGCTTGGAAAATTAAGCATGCGCCGTGGAGTCCTCATCGTCATCATCGATCATCAATGTCATCAGGTTCCCAGGCCCGTTCAAGGTTCATGGGCCGCAACATCTTTCTTCCCTCGCGGCGAAGTGATCCCCCGTCCAGCGCGCGCCTACAATGTGCATCGCACATCGGCCGATGGTACACGGCTTGGCACGGATGCCCTTTAGGCAGGCCTTCGTAGCAAAAAGTATTTGCTGATCCTTTGTGCTGTACAACGTGTGATCTGCAGTTAAAGAGTATGAGAAGTGATACGTCGCGTGAAGTCGATGGTCGATGTTCCACGACTGTTCAAGTCATGACACTGAGCTGGTTTCCCCGGCATCGGTCGACAGATAGGAGAGCTCCGGTAGTTGTTGGGCCGTCCACTGTACAATGTCAAAGGCAATGCCATACGGATACTGGCGCAGGGTCTACATCAGGAGCTGCTTTACCTTGTGTACGGTTAAGGCGTGCTCGTCATGGCAGCATGCTCCGATGCATCTTGCTGCAGATTACCGCTACTTTGGTTATGAGCCTTATGAGACTGACACAGGTTTTGAGCCGTAGGATGTTGGGAACAACTTGATGGCGGCATGACATCGTTCCGCGCATCCGAACCTGTAGCTGCTGCAGCTGTGCTTGCTGTCTGGGCGAGCACAATGACGTACATTTCACGGCCTACAGTCTTTAGTTCCCCATCAGAAAGTGGCACGGGCTTTTTGTGATCATCGAGAGTGAGCATTCCCCTGCTGCTCGGAAGCGCCACGGTGTAGTGACCTGAGGCTGGGTGCACTCCTTTGTGGCATATGATGGCTGCAGTGCAATAGGGACGCCACTCAACTCTCACGGAGCTGGAGTCACGAAAGAGCGGCACCTTGATTGTTGTCGGAATTGTGTAACTCTGCTTAGTTTTAACAACCCTATCAGCCTGAAGCTTGAACCTTGGAAGCTGAAGAAACAGCCATGGCGCGGCATTGGTCATGGCGTGTGCAAAGTCCTGAAGGTGCCAATGGTTCACTAGAAATTGCACTGTACCCCTATGCTTTGGCGATGCTATTAGTCCAATGCACTGGGAGAGAGACGTCTCCTCCGTCTTTTGCAGTGGATTGGCACCGATCTGTTGCCGTCCTTGCCATGTCCCCTGGAAGGACCTGGGGAGAAACTTGTGGTGGATGAAGTCAATAAATTCAGCAATGTCATGCTGTCGCTCAGGCTGTTGCCACCCCACAAGAGTATACCCCAAAAGGTTGAAGACTTCATCTTCGTGGTGACCTAAGATTCGCTGAAAAACTTCTGGCATCTGGTTGTGCCAACGCGATCGTTGAACCGCAGCATCGAGCGAGTAAAGAAAGGAGATTGCGTAACAGTGATTACCATGATTATGCAAGGTGAATCTGGGCAGGTCTTGTGTATTGAGGTCCTGGCCTCTGTTGTCCTGACGTCCCCCTCGGTCTAGTAGCCCAGCACCATCTTCGCCAGCTCCCGTACAGCTGGTGCTCTCTTCATCGTTTCTCTCTTGATTGACACTCCTATCAGTTGCCATGCTGAGCAACCTAGGAGTGTGCACAGTGTCTCGTGTAGCTCGTTCGCTTTCTCTCCTCTCAGCGCTATGCCGAGTAAGAAAGTCACGGATGGATGATTGGTCATATCGGCTTCTGCATCCGCCAGGCTTTGGGTGCTGTGGAATTTGTGTATTATGTCTCCGCGGAGATTCTCGAGGATGAAGGAGAGGAGTCGAGTGAGCTCTGCGTGGCTGATGCTGGCTTTGCCGCTGTTCACGACCAGCTTGCGATTCTTGTGGCACCACTTCATGAAAGTCCACTCGCCCTCTGGAGTCATCCAGCTTGCTCTTCGTAGCTTCTCCTGCCCCGGATCTGTGGATGACATCTTTTGCACTCTCGCCAAGAGTTCCTTGATCATGCATGCAAGAAGCAGCGTTCGTTTCGAGGATGTCAGACCCTCGTGTCCCTGTTCCTTCTTGCTCTCCCACTCCACAGAGATTGCATGCAGATTGGGAATGATTGATGCATAATCTTGCCTTAAAAAGAGCACAAAATCTTTGTCCATTCGCTGGGCTGCGAGTTGATCTTCGTGGTGTAGCATGACCTTTGTCATCAGCTTGAGTTCCGGAGTTGCACGGATCTGTGGCTTGGGCTGTTGCTTCTGTGGCCGTCGGGATCTGGTGCTGCTGTTGTTGCTGAGTGCTGCTGGGAAGAGGGGGCTCGGTTCGGGCCTGGCACGTTTGGGTGGCTGGGATTCCTCCGATTTCTCGACGCCCTCCTCCTGTTCCTCCTTCTTGAGGTGATGTCTGGTCAGGAGTTCGGGAGCACAGAATGCGAAGATATCCGCTTCTGGATTGAGGCTCGGTGCTGAAGCGGCCATCCTGCCATTGGCAGCGTGTTTTTGCAATGCAGATTTGGTACAGGACGACACATTGTCTGGCATGCTGAGCTGGGGCCCAGACCTTCCCTTGGCACCAGGGGCACGACCGATTTCGCACCAGATGCTGCTTGAAACTGACACACAAGTTGAGGGCTCGCTCATTCAAACCGGGTGTTTCTGGCTCGTGCACACGTGTGATGTGTTGCTTGATCTTCGTGTACGAGGCGACCCACATATGGCACAGGACACAGTGGCTGCGGAGGTCGTCGCGAAGCTTGTGGTCACGAAGCAAGTCTTCCCACTGAGGAAGTTTTCGGGTGAACCAATCACGCTCAATCAAAGGGACGTTTTGCAAAATGCCTGTCGCGGTGTCCGGCGGCTCATTCGCCGTGCAGGCTGGCACCGTGGTTTCCTGATGCACGTCAGTTTTCTGGGCATGTTTAATCTTACTATCCCCACCTAACTGCTCACAAGCCCCACTTTCTATGTGCATCTTTAAATTCTGCCACTTATAGAATGTACGAAGACAAAGGCGGCATCTAGGTAAGCCTCCACAGGCATGTTGCCGGGGATCAAACTTGGTGGGCGTACACAGGACCCTGGGTGGTAGCTCTGCATGAGCTAGCTGAGAATGCACTCGCATGGCGTGTTCCGTGATGAAGACAGCATCACAATAAGGACACGGAACATCACCCATGTCCGTTGGAGTTTGTGCATCATGTTCTTTCTGCTTCTCAAGCTGGTCACGGAGTGTGGCTTCAAGTTGTGCAACGCGGTCCAGAATAGCAGGCTGAGTTGTGATATCTGGGGCTGAGGCAGCCTTCTGTATCAGTGCTCGCTGGAAGTTTTGGAGCGAGCTCAGCAGCACTTGACCTGGCGGTGCAAGTTGGGCTTGACTCCATACCTGCGCGTTTGGAGTGTGGGTGAGGTGCGCTGGCTCGCGCTGTATAGCGCGAAGGTGTTTTGTGGAGGCTTTGGTGAGTTGGCTCAACCCATTGCTGGGAAGACCAACTGCTGCAAGTGAGTAGTGAAAGCTGGTTTGGACACAGGCAGTCCACAATCTCAGGCGATGTCTTACATGCAAGGCATGATGGCCGTTAAGGGTTTTACGTATTGCTTGGTACTTAGCTTGTCCAGCTTGCATGCGATGCCCTAGGTTTTTGTCTAGTCTGTGATGATAAGTGACTTTCGTGCCAAGGTGTTCGTGAACTTCTTTGATCGGGATGAGCTGGGTGTGGCCTTTGACCTGCACACAAAGATGCCTAGTACCATTCTTCATCCTTGTATTTTCGTACATCACAGTTTTAGCTTGTTTACCCTCAAGCCTAATGAGTACAGCCGTTTTGCTGTAGTTGATGGACATTTTGAACTCAACTAGCGTCTCGAGTACAACCTTCAACTGGGCAAGTGCTTGGGTGAAATCCTCTCTACTACGTATTATCCAGTGGGCCCAATGGTCATCCGCGAACAGGACCAAAGCCTTGGCGATCCACTCCGTTCCAAGCTTGTCTTGAAGAACCTGCATCAAGGCTACGGTGTAAAAACACCACAGAAAGGGTGCGATGCAGCATCCTTGTTTCAAGCCGTTCGTGGTGGTATGTCGCCCAGTATTCGGCCCTGCCCTGAAGACGTACTGTGCATCCCTGTGCAGCTGTTGGATGACAGTGATGGTGTCTTGTGACACACCGTAGTTTGCAAGAGTTTCGTAGATGATGGGTCTGCTGGCCAGATCATAGGCACGTGATAGGTCCAGTGACAGGCTCATGCCTCCTACGCATCCAAGAGGTTTCTGGCCTTGATATTGTTGGAAACGATCAATCTGGTTGGCTCTCAATTGAAGGCTGACCTCCTCAAAGTGAAGGTGTACTTTGAGTATGGCATCGAAGGTTCCTCGCATTCTAGTGTAGGCGTATTGGGGTAAATCCTTAACTAGGGGTTGTAAGACATCAAGAAGGGACTTACGCATGAGGCCCGCGATCATTTTTGCACTGGGGCATTGTAACCCGATTGGTCTAAGGTTGCCTACTTCAGTGGCAGGTTTATTGGGTTTCGGGATTAGGGTGATGTAAGAGTCGTGAAGGTCATTGCGGAGCACAGCGGTGCTCCCTGCCTCGAAGTGCAATCGCAGGGCAGGTCCCAACAGCTTGGCAATGTCCCCTGCACAGTGTTTCAGGCCCGTTCAAGGTTCATGGGCCGCAACATCATCATCACCATCATCATCATCATCATCAATCATCAGTCATATGCGAGGCTTCCAGGCCCAGAGGGCCCAGAGGATATGCGTGCCACGGGCTTGTAGAGTGACTTGCAAGTTGTCAGTCCAGCCGGATTGGTCTGAGAGTTTTAGGTGTCACAAGGTTGCTGGAGAAGGACAGTGTGGAAGCGGCAGAGATTCTGCCGCTTCCGCGCCGTCCCAGGTTCACGGGATGCAGGAGAGCGTCCGAAGCCTTCGTGATGCTCTCTTGCATGCCGTGTGGTATCGGCTTCCAGGTTCAGCTCGGCTAATAATAATAAGTTCTCCTAACCAGTCCGGCTTCGCGACTGTTGCCGAATGGATCTGCGGCTGAAGATCTGCCGCAAGACTCCCTCCCTGGCTGGGCTGAGACCTGTGCCGTGACATGACAATTCAATCATCACGAGGCTCGGGAAAGGCATCACGAGGCTCGGGAAAGGTTCGGTTCCTAGGTTCCCAGGCTCCCATTTAGAATAGTTCGTTGGGTTGCCAGGCTCAGCACAGGTCTCAGCCCAGGGAGTTTAGACCTGTGCCGTGGCATGACAGTCATCATCGAGGCTATATATAATTATATAATATATATATATATATATATGTATTATTTAATATAATTAATAATTTAAATATAATTTTAAAGCATGCCCCGTGGAGTCCTCATCGTCATCATCTGTCATCAGTGTCATCAGGTTCCGAGGTCCGTTCAAGGTTCATGGGCCGCAACATCATCATCACAATCATCAGTCATCAATGTCATCAGGTTCCCAGGCCCGTTCAAGGTTCATGGGCCGCAACATCACCATCATCATCATCATCAGTCGAGGCTTCCAGGCCCAGAGGGCCCAGAGGATATGCGTGCCACGGGCTTGTAGAGTTGACCTGCAAGTTGTAGTCCAGCCGGATTGGTCTGAGAGTTTTAGGTTTCACAAGGTTGCTGGGTTCCAGCACTCTTTGCCTGTTTGCCTGTTCCCAGACACGGGCTGCAGGAGAGCGTGTCGAAGCTCGGCATGTTCTCCTTCAGCCCGTGTCGTATCGGCTTCCAGGTTCAGCTCGGCAACCGCAAATGAAATTATTAAGTTTCTCCTAACCAGTCCGGCTTCGCGACTGTTGCCGAATTCATCTGCGGCTGAAGATCTGCCGCAAGACTCCCTCCCTGGCTGGGCTGAGACATGACAATCATCACGAGGGTCGGGAAAGGTTCGGTTCCTAGGTTCCCAGGATCCCAGGTAGAATAGCTGGGCTGAGACCTGTGCCGTGGCATGACAGTCATCATCGAGGCTTGGAAAATTAAGCATGCCCCGTGGAGTCCTCATCGTCATCATCAGTCATCAATGTCATCAGGTTCCCAGGCCCGTTCAAGGTTCATGGGCCGCAACATCATCATCACCATCATCATCATCATCATCAATCATCAGTCATATGCGAGGCTTCCAGGCCCAGAGGGCCCAGAGGATATGCGTGCCACGGGCTTGTAGAGTTGACTTGCAAGTTGTCTGTAGTCCAGCCGGATTGGTCTGAGAGTTTCAGGTTTCACAAGGTTGCTGGAGACTAGCACTCTTTGCCTGTTTGCGTGTTCCCAGACACGGTCTGCAGGAGAGCGTGTGCAAGCTCGGCATGCTCTCAACCGCTACTCGGGAAGCTGGACTTGTTAGGAGAAGCATCATCATAATATGATGATGCTGCTCCTCACAAGTCCGGCTTCGCGACTGTTGCCGAATGCATCTGCGGCTGAAGATCTGCCGCAAGACTCCCTCCCTGGCTGGGCTGAGACATGTGCCGTGACATGACAATCATCACGAGGCTCGGGAAAGGTTCGGTTCCTAGGTTCCCAGGCTCCCAGGTAGAATAGTTCGTTGGGTTGCCAGGCTCAGCACAGGTCTCAGCCCAGTCTTGTTCCGTCGCAGATTCAGTCGAACACAGACTCCCTGACTGAGGGTAACCAGTCATCATCGAGGCTTGGAAAATTAAGCCTGCCCCGCGGAGTCCTCATCGTCATCATCTGTCATCAATGTCATCAGGTTCCGAGGCTTGTTCAAGGTTCATGGGCCGCAACATCATCATCACCATCATCATCATCAGTCATCTTCATATGCGAGGCTCCCAGGCCCAGATCCCTTAAAATTTTTCGGGAGGGTCGACGCACACACCAAGAGGAGAAGGTGGAGGATGTGAAGGTGGTCGAGGTGCCCTTCTTCATGCCCCTCAGCTCCAAGTCGGCCACCGAGGTGCTCGCGGCGACCAAGGAGATTCTTCTACAGGTTCGGCGACTGGGCCTCATTGTGAAGCGGATCCACACCGATTGTGGTCGGGAGTTTGTCAACAAAGGCTTCAGAGCTCTCTGCGCGGATCGAGGTTTGGTCCATACGACTACCGGCGGTGACAACTACAAGTCCAATGGAAGAGTGGAAGCTCTCGTTGGAAGGGCCAAGAATGCAGTGCGAACGATGTTGAGTGCTTCGCGGATGAAGGCTACTTCGTGGTCGTTCGCTATGCGGCACTATGTGGCTAGACTCCAATGGGATGTGGTCACCCAACTGGGAGGACGCTATCCACGGTTGCCGCCGTTTGGGACTAAGGTGTTCGTGAAGAAGAGGTCCTGGAAGCTGCTCAAGGAGGAGTTCGTGGAGAAAGTGGTGGCAGCTAGGATCCTGTGCCCATCAATGGAGGTGGCTCGTGGCTTCTTGGTCAAGACCGAGGACGACAGTTACCTCACCACCATGGTGGCTGTGGAGAATGTCAAGGAGGTCTCTGGAGAGTTCGAGGTCGATGCACCTCCCGCCCCGGGTGTGGACCCCGGAGCTCGGCACCGCATTCGTGGGAAAACCACTATGGCAATTTCGCGATGTGAAGAAGTTGATCAACTATGTCGGCTGGACCCGCAAGAAGAGGAGCACTTGATCCAGGATGAAGAGCTGGCCGAAATCTTCTTGGAGGCCGGTGACTTTTCTCCGGAGAAGGTTGGTGAGCTCCTGGACGGTCTTTGGCTCAGTGAAACGACCGTGCGCAATCGCCGTGGCCAGGCCTTTGAGGATCAGGCTAAAGTCTCGGCGCATGTGGCAGGAATGTTTCGACATGGAGGTGTGGTTGGAGCCACGAATTTGGCGCGCCGGAGACCGGCCTTGGTCAAGTTCTTGGTGCAGGCTATGAAGGCGCAAATGCCGTCGGGGACCTCATTCACCACCCTTGCGATCAACTTCAACACTCCCATGCAGTGCCATCGGGATGGCAACAACAAGCCTGGCGAGAAGGCTTTCCTGATGGGCTTCGGTGATTATGGTGGCGGCCAACTTTGGTGCCATGAGGCCGATGCGGACCGGGAGGTGGTGTGGAAAAAGGTCAAAGGGCAATGGCTACCTGGCCGGACCTACGACACGTACCACAAAATGGTGAGCTTTGATCCTCGCCGTCTACATCAACCCCAACACTGGGAGGGCAGCCGCATTACAGTGAGCGCCTATACGGTGAACTGCGATTGCAACTGTTCTCAGGAGAATCGTGCTCTACTACAAGCGCTGGGTTTTCCTTTGCCGCAGGTTCAGTTTTGAGCTGGGCTCGAAGGAGGAGGTGCTGCGGGAATTACAAAAAGTTTGCGGCGTCCCAAAGGTTCGTTGAGAGTGATGTGCGATGCCTACTCGTCTGGAAGGCGGACTACTGGCGGTTTGGTTCCGGGGGAGGATCAGACTGGAGAATCTCATCAAGTTGCTTGCGGTGAAAGTCGTGGTCTTTGTCGTTGCGAACATGGAGAACTAGTATGGAGTGGTCTGGTTCCGGGGGAGGATCAGACTGGAGAATCTCCTCAAGTTGCTTGCGGTGAAAGTCGTGGTCTTTTTCAGTGCAGTTGCAAAGGCTACGAAGTTGATCCGTCTCTCTGTGTTTGCGAAGGTCCTACTGTGGGCTCTGCGGAGGAAGGGGCTGCTAGTAATGGTCCAAAGGAAAGTGCAGGTCCTCAAGTTTTCTACATCGGGGACGCAAGTCAGGAGGAGTTGGGACCTTCAGCAGATGTTGTGGCACCGGGCGACGAAGCAGGAGATCTTCGATGGCTACAGGAAGATTGGGGTGCTTACGAACCTCCTGAGTGGTCGCAACTACAAGCTCTGGATGCCAGTGATGAAGCGGACTATCGTTTGTTGGGAACGGAGAGGCCGCTTCAAGTTGGATGGGATCTTCTTGAGGGATACGTTGATGAACTACGGGTGGCCCTTTTGCAAGAGGAATACGCCGAAAGAGATCGCCTACTTCAACGCGGTGAAGCTGGCGACGATTGCCAAGGATCACTTCGCAAGCGGGCCCAAGACCGAGCTGAACTTGAAAAGTTTCTTCACCAGGTGTCCGAGTTGAAGAATGAAGCGCCGCCGAGGCTATGCAAAACCGAGGTTCCGGAGGAGGATGCCCCGCTTCACACGAAGACGATCCCCAACGAGGTCATGCGACGCGAGCTTCATCGGTGGATACCCAGTATGGCGGCTGAGTATGAGGCCTTGGTGCGCGAAAACGAGGCCGTCGAGCCGTTCCCGGAGGAGACGTTGGAGCAGTGGCGAAAAGAAGGCCGAGAGTTCGACCTCGTTCCTGGGAAGACGGTGCACACCGTGAAGGCCTTCTCGGGGCGACTGAAAACCAGGGCGGTGATCTGCGGCAACTTCCTGGGGCAGTGCTTCACCAAGGACCAGAAGTATGCATCTGGAGCTGATAGTGTGCTCATCAGGCTGGTGCTTCGAGAATGTGCTCTACGCCACTGGCACCTGTGCGTTATCGATGTTCGCACGGCCTTCCTTTTGGCTCGTCTCCTTTTCCAAGAGGATCGTCCGACGTTGGTTCAGGTGCCCAAGATGTTCTTGATGGGCGGTGTGTGCAAAGAGTCGATCTGGAGGGTCAAGCGGGCCTTGTATGGCATGGTTACCTCTCCCTAGTCCTGGGAAGTCTACAGAAACAGTACCATGGCCAAGATGAAGGGCACGATCAAGGAGGCCGAGATCACTCTCGCACCATCGTCGGTGGATGGCAGTTTGTGGTATATCATGGCCGGCCCCCGACGAGTGGGAATGGTGGTTTGCTATGTCGATGACTTGCTGATTGTCGGTGAGAAGGAAGCTGCTACGGAGGTGGCGGCCATGTTCCGTCGCACCTGGAAGTGTACGGAGCCTCAATGGGATGATGTATCCTTCAACGGTTTCGAGGTGAAGCGGACGGAACAAGGACTCCTGCTGACGCAGAACAGCTACACCAAGGACCTCTTGGAGCGCTATAAGGACATGCAGGGCTACGAGGAGGTTCCGGCACCCCTTCAGGTTGCGACGTCCGACTTTGAGCTCCAGGAGAACGAGACTGCCGCGGAGTACGTCAGAGCTGCTCAGGTGATCGCTGGTGAAGTCCAGTGGCTGGCGGGCAGATGTCGACCGGAGATTATGTATGCCACCAACCTCCTGTCGCAGGCTATCTCCAGGAGTCCCAAGGAGGCCGTGTACCGAGGAGGGCACTTGATCAAGTACCTGAAGAGGTTTCCGGAGGCGGGTCTTTTGTACTCCCGGGTACCTGTGCCCGACAAGGAAGCGCGCCACTCTGGTGACGGTCCCAAGTTGGAAGGGTACAGCGATGCCAGTTTCGCTCCCAGCTCCGAGCGCAGCCAGCAGTGTGTGCTGATCTTTGCCCAGGGCGGTTTGGTGGCCTGGTCTTCATCCCGGCAACCGTTTGTCACAATGTCTACGGCGGAGAGTGAACTGGTGGCCATTTGCGAGTTGGTCACGTGCCTCAAGTCTGTGGAGCAACTCATGGCGGAGATCGCACTTGGAGATGCTAGAAATTCCTCGAAGGTGACCAAAGTGCTGTACTCCGACAGTCAGTCGGCCCTTTCGGTTTGTCGGTGCGCGGCGGGCTCGTGGAGAACCAGACATTTGCGTATCCGAGGAAGCATGGTGAGGGAGCTGCTGGACCAGAACGACTGGCTCTCCTACCACGTGGACGGCGTCACGATGACTGCCGACATTGGGACCAAGTCTTTGGCAGCTGATCGGTTCAACATGCTGGCCGACAGGATGCGAATGTCCAGGACCCGAAGTACGATTGAGGAAGCACGGAACCCCAAAGACCTTGGACCCTCAGTTTGTCCAGCGTCTACTGCTAATCCTTTGCGTCGCATCTTTGGTGGATCAGGTTGAGGCGGCGGACGAGGAAGAGGTGGATTTCGTCTACTACGGCATGATGGCTGGAGCCCTGATTGTGATCCTGACGGTGTACGAGTTCGTGAAGTGGGTTGCTTCGGAGTTTGGGAGTTCGTTGGCTCCGGAGCATGGGTCATCCCGAGGCTTCATCCACCTCGAGTTCGAGGGGAAGGACAGCGACTTCTACGTCCACCTCCTCCACCGAGGCAAGCCCGGAGAGAGAGAGGAGCACCCGACGGCGACGACCTCCTACTCCGCCGATCCCCGAGGACCGACCGGCCGACGATGGAGCCTACAGCTTTGTGCAGCCTACCGGTGATCGTGACCGATGGGAGCTGGACTATGACCGAGGAGTTGCAATTCGCTGGCATGCCAAGCCGCGACAGCAGCTTTTTGTACCAGGTCATTGCACCGGAGGACCTGAACTTAGCCGTTTGACCGGCGAGCGCACCACCTACGCGAAGTTTGCCAATGGAAATGTCCGAGTGGCCTCGGACAACTACTTGCAGGCCAAGAAGCCTGCCCAGATTCTTGGAGATCGGGAATGGAAAGGACGAACTGAGCTTAGAATGTGCCCGGAATCGGACAGTAAATCTGTCAAACGAAAGCCTTGAGTCTTGTCTAGCAGCCGTAAGCGTTGCTAGATGGAGCAGTGGAGCTGCTCTCCCTTTTCGGAATGAAGCCATACGCCCTCTGTTCAGCATAGCGCTGAAGGGGGAGTGTGAGGCGTACTGTTGTGCAGTGAGCCGACTTCGAAAGGCTTTGAAAGCTCAAAAGCGACAGCACTCCGTTAGCAATTTCAATTGTTCGGATCACCCAAATAATTGAACTAATTGAAATAATTGAAATGGGGCTGGATTTCAATTATTTCAATTAATTGAAATCGTGTGGTTTCTGAGTTGAACTAGGAAACCTACCGCTTTCAATTATTTCAATTACTTGGGGTTCCCGAACAATTCAAATAATTGAAATATTTGTCATGAGCTTCACATATTTAACTTATTTTAAGTATTTCAATTATTTACCATATATACAACTAAATAAAGAAAACATAGTAGCAACATAGACCCAAGAGGTAGCACTCACATATATATATATATATATATATATGTTTTTTTTGAGCGAGAAAGCCCCGAAGTTGAAAAAGTCCAAGGTCATGATGAGTGATTCAAAGTTAAGAGTTCTTTTTCAATACATGCTCCTGATCTAGCAGCAGCAAACCATAATGTACTGTGCAGCCAGCAATTGCTTGATTGCGAGGTTACTGGGGCAATTTTCCAGATGAATCTGCAACGCTTCGTGGTGCGACCCTGGCATTCAAGCAATCTGCGAATTCCCACAGACTGAGATTGGAGTACACTGGGCTGCTAATTCTATAAATCTCATATGATATGATATGGTTTAATAATATTATAAGTTCTTAGTTCTTGACGACCGTCGCTCAGATTCTAAGGCATTCGATTCAAACGATAACACCTGGCATGCTGCACGATTCCACAACCGATGCCGGGGACTTTCCGGTTCTCACCTTGAAGGCTTGGAATAGTCGGATCTGGTTGGCATATATGGACCATTGCATCGAAAAACAACTGTGGAAAAATCATGCTGCTGGCGTTCAAGATCGCGAGATGGTGCTGGCGGGGGCTGCAACGAGAAACTTGGTGCTGTGGTTCTGTGAACAGGAGGCAGCGGATCGATTTTACCTTACAGAGTCGCAAGCTGCAACGATCCATCGACATGCCTGCGAATACCTGAAGTATGCGCAAGCCCTGGCGAAGCACGCCAGCGGTGCTGTTGTGCTACAATGGAAGATCCTGCCGAAACACCACGATCCTCTGTGGCTTACAGTATTCGCTTTTGTGCATTTTTCGAAGTCGCTATGTGCTGATCAAATCAAACTGAACTCATGAGCCTTGCAAGGCATTTGACCATTTGGCGGAAAACGTGCTGATTGATCGCTGGAACCCTAGAGGGTTCCATGCATTCATGGACGAAGACCTGGTGCTTCAGTGGAAACGATTAGCATTGCAGATGCCATCGACAGCGATGGAAGAGAGGCGATTGATTCGATACTTGATCAGATTGAGCCTGAAGCGACTTTGATGTGGAGGATCCGGAGGAAAAGAAGAGCGAGTGAGAAGTTTCAGATCATCCAACTCGTATTCACCCTTCCCGTAGTGCTATGTTCGATCAAATAAAAACCAAGATTCTGCCTCGCAGCCTTCTTGTGCACCCCTAGTCAGCCCCGATGATGGTTTATGCCTTATAGGGTTAAGTATATAGATCTAGTAAGGGTTTACGTGAAAGTCTTCCGGACGAATGATACCCAAATTTGCTGACATTGGACTTCCAGGGGCCTTGTACCATTCTAGCGCCCTACTTTCCGAATGCAGCCTTTTGCGGCTGACTTTGGAGTCCCTGGGGAAGGCGGAATTGGTGAAGTTGTTCATCACGCAGATGACGATGAGAGAGAAATCGAGATTGAGGGTGAAGGGGCGCCTGTGAGAAAGGCGAAAGTTGGAACTTTTGAAAGCTGAAGCCAACACCCTTGCACATTTGTGCACTCATCGCTATCGCAACCCATAGTGTGAGTCATGCATTCGTGCAAAGATGAAACATTTGCGCACAAAACGCGGAGCATTCCAACGAGAGTTGAAGGTATGGGGTGATCTGGTCACGTTTGATTTCCTCGACATGCGCAAGGCCGCTGAAGCAGGTCTGGGCATTGATGATGGTGCAAGAGAGGTCCTGGTGGTCAGGGACATTGCCACTGAAATGATGGCGGCTATCCCGACTAAGTCCCGAAACACGGATGACGTAGTCAACGCGTTGAGGAGGCTCACCGGGAGACGCAAGATCAAGATGGCCTACAGCGACGTTGCGTCTGAATTCGATGCTGCGATGAAAGAGATGAGGATACCATCGGATCATTCACTACCAAGGACGGAAAGCACCAATCAGGAGATCATCAACACCGTTGCAATTGCTGTGTTGCACGCAGGCACGCCTGCACAGTACTGGCAGTTTGCACTGAATTGCGTTACCCACAACCTGAACATTGAGGATGTCTTGGGTGATGGCGATTCAGCATGGAAAAGAATGGCGGGTGATGACTTCAAAGGGAAGGCCATACCATTCGGTGCGAAGGTTTTCTTCAAGCCCACTGAAACTCGAGACAAGACGTACGACCACAAGTTCGATCACAAAGGGATTCCTGGTGTTTTTGCCGGGTACGTCATCACTACGGGTCAGAACTGGTCACGAAAGTACCGGGTGTGGGACATGAAGGAGTTTGCCAACGTGAACCTGTCCATGGATGCGGCAGTGCCACGGAAGCTGATGCAACCTTATCAGACCGAGGTCGTATACTTTCCGGATGAGATCACATTTCCACTCAAAGCCGAGTACACAAAGATGAACGAGACGCTCGAAGGGCTCAATGACAATGTGAACCTCGGAGGGAAGGAGATCAAAGACATTGACGATCATGACGATGACGACTCGGGAAAGCCTGATGGTGGCAATGGAGGAAACAAACTTGACGATGATCGTCCTCCTCCAGATTCCGGAGAAGATCCTGATCTTGCAGATATTGATTGGTCTGGTGATGAAGGCAACGATGGTTCGATCGAGATAGAGAGGATCGTCCAATCGATGCCATAGGCGATGCCATACTTGACAGAGCTGAACTTGAAGGACGTGAAGCTGCAGGACTACTTCCACCTCCATTGCCTGCACCAGCGGAACCTCCAACTGGGGATGCCGATGGTCGGCGTTCGCACGAGGAGGACCCCGAAACCATTATCAAGGTTCTGAAGGAGAAGAGATTAGCTCCTAAGGACATCGAACATTGGAGCGCGGGCAAGGGAGGAGACGGGAAGGTGTACTTGACTGATGACGGTGAAGCGTGCAAGATCGACAAACGTGGAGTACCATACAAGATACGAAGTGACGGCAGACGCAGACTTCCTACACGGCGACCCATTGAGAAGTACTCGCCTGAAGCGTGGAAGAAACTGGGTGAAGCCGAGAAGAAAACAGCATACAAGAAAGATAAAAGGGACAAAGCCCGTGCCGCGAAAAAAGATAGGAAGAAAGCTGCGGCGGGTAGAAGGGCAAATGGCAAGGCATTGGACCAGATGATCTGCCAGAAGCTTGTCCAATGTGACAAGATTGACCTGCAGCTCAACATTCGTGATCAAGATGTCGGATGGGAATGGGCGCAGGAAATGTCTGATGCACACGCCCAGGACGCGTTTCTGGCGGATGTCATCCCAGCCGTGCCCACATGCATGGTCTTCAATGAGGACTGGATTTTATTTATGCCGTGTACTACATCTGTGCCAACAGAGCATAGAGAAAAGAATCCACAAACCAGGTCTTGTTTCAACGTCATGGTCACGCGACCAGTCACTCGCAAAGAGATGTTGAACAATCCCAAGGCGATGGAAGCTTTCATGAAGGAGTGGAAAGGTCTATGGGATCAAGAAGTATTCGACTTCTCAACCACGCGCGAGTACGACGACGTCGTGGCAGAAGCCAAGAAGAAAGGTGAAAAAGTGCACATGGAGCATGTGCATGGCCTCATCTACGAGAAGAACTATCAGCTCAAAGAAGATGACCCAGCTAGGAAGTTTAAAGGCCGAGGTGTACTACTTGGTGATCAAGTCAAGGACCAGAATATGGAAGCTGCATTGTTCCAAGACCTGGGCAATTCTCCTGCTACATGATGCATCGAGATGGGCAGACTATTATGGATGCCTCCCGGGGAATGACGTGCAGATGGCGGACGCTATCCAGGCATACATCCAAGCGAAACTATCGGGTGTACCATGTTGGGTTGAACTACCTGACGCAGCCTGGCATCCTTCTGCGAATCGACATAAGTTCCGTCGCCCAGTATGCCGACTGGTCAAGGCGCTATACGGACATCCTGACGCTGGAACCATGTGGGAGCAACACTGTCATACCGCAGTACAGAAGGTCGGGTTCAAGCCGCTTGGCGAAGAATGGCCATCATTGTATTTCCATCCGGATCTGAAACTGCTCCGTGTGATCTATGTGGACGATCTGAAAATGGCTGGCCCTGTGGCCAACCTGCCGAAAGGGTGGAACATGTTGCGTCAGGAGCTTCGTCTGGAAGAGGAAACACCTCTGGGGCTGTACCTTGGATGCCGGATCTCCAAAGGCGAGGCAACATTGCATGACAAAACGAAGGTGCAAACTGTTACCTACGACATGGAGACTTACCTTGAGATGACGGTCAAGAAGTACTGTGATGTCACAGGGTTTGACTCTAGCAACTTCAAGACGCTACCATCGCCGAGTCCTGCAGAAGAGACCAAAGGTCATCCTGCACGGGCGCCGGCACAATCAGGTAAAAGTCATCGATGCACGTGGTGTGGACACACTATGCCGGTTGACACGGATGGTCGGCTTGTACCGCCTCCACCTATTTTCAAGGCGCCAGAGGAAGAGGAAGTCGCCGACACCAACCGTGGGGCCCTTGCGCCTCAGGCTGCGAGTATACTCATGAAGTTGCTTTATGCCGCGCGAATTTGTCGCTTTGACCTGTTGCGCAGCATCAACAACCTTGCTCGCAGGATCACAAGATGGACTAAGAAGGAGGACGCTTTGTTGCACCACCTCATGTTGTATGTGCACCAGTCCAAACATCATATGATGATTGGGTGGGTGGGGGATTCCTTGGAGAACTCATCCATCGGGCTGTTTGCGGATGCGGACTATGCTGGTTGCGGCGACAGCCTCAAATCTACCTCTGGTGCTCCCATGCACATTCAAGGTCCTCACACAAGATTTCCATTGGCTGGACTCAGCAAAAGGCAGGGGTGCCTCAGTCACTCCACACCTGAGGCCGAGATTGTCGCGGCCGACTTTGCTATGTCTCGCTTGGGGCTGCCTGCTATTACCTTGTGGCAGCAGCTGGGGGGTCAAGACCCCAACTTCATCTTCTACGATGAGAATCAAACCATGATCGGGGTGATTCGCACTGGCAAGAATCCGACAATGTGTCACTTAGAGCGTACTCACGGCATCAGCATTGGCTGGATGCATTCCATCTTTCAGGAGAGTTACGTTTCCCTTGCCTATGAAGTCACCGCCAAGATGGCTGCGGATATCCATACCAAGTCGTTCAAGGACTCCGTGTCTTGGACTCACGCGTGTCAGCTGATCAATATTTTTCCGCCAGCTCTCATCGGTTCCCAGGAGATCATGGATCTGATGCGCCCCACACATTCGCAAAGTGCTGATGAAAAGGGCCATTACTTGTTCAAGAGCGAGGTGCCTTGTTGTCCCTACACGGAGACGCCGATACTGCCTCAGGTGCTGTACCGTGCCGGTCTTTCCAGCAAGGAGGGATTGCAGGAGCATGATAGCGTTGACCCCATCTTGGTTGTCAAGTTTCCGCGCACGTTGCGCGGGCCGCCTTCGACGTTGCCGCCCGGTCGTTACCTTCGGTCGACCTGGATTCTTCGGGAAGGGCAGTGGCACCAGGTGGAAGATCGAGCGTCCATTCCGGACACCCCGGTGAAGTTTGATCGCTACGTGGAGCGTGCCGTTTTTCAGTTTCATCCCGTTCGTGGTCAACTTCGCTCCGCCGTGGCGTCCGAGGCGTTACGTTCCGTACCAGACCCACCTCCTCTTGGCCAGCTTTTTGTGCGAGCCCTGCGTGCCAGGTGGCGGTCAGTGGTTGCCGCGCTATCGCGCGCCATCCATGGGGGGTGCCAGGGCTACACACTACCTCTTCACTCCTCTTCGATTCAACGGTCGACCCTATTCTCAGCGAGTTCCGTATGTCGGGGACACCCGATGGACCACCGTTGTAGAGGAAGTATGGGAACATATGGCATCAATAAGGCATGAACTACAAGGTTATGACGGTGTAATCGTGCCGCACCTCGTGGAGTTCCAAGAGAATTCCAGAAAAGGCTTGATTATTGAGTTTCACGACGGTGATGGTGCACTTGTTCACACCTACAAGGATACTTCCAATGAGCTTTCGTACAAGATCGTCATCGAGGATGCGCCTAAGAAAGTCACTGTTTGGACGGTGATCGGTGTTGATGAAGACAACTGGTGGA